ATGACATATGAATTATATGATTCTATATCATGCAAGCATATCATATGACATTATGATATTGTCATTTGCCAACACTGAACTTTAAGCAGTCTATTTTAGTTTCAATAATGCTACGTACGTACGTACGTACGTAGATAAGTTTTCATGCATAAAAAATGTAAGAATGTAATTTTCGTAACATTTCGTAACACAATCTAATTGCCTAAACGCGATAATGGGCAATATGCTCATCTTAAGGCCGTTTGAAATTAAATTTTCGTTTAACGTTATTTTTTTCTCGTTTACACGGGGGAAAATTAAACAAACGTAAAAATTAAACATAGTGTACCAGAAAATCCCGGAAATATGCCGAAAAATTCCGGCGGCCAAGCTGGCTATTATATCGATCAATCTATTTGTTTAATTTTTGGGGGATCTCAGGAGACGGAGGGGGGATACCGTTAAACGAAAATCAATCTCAAACGGCCTAAGCGCAGAATGCGGAGGAAAATTCTTTGAGTTTGCAATAATTCCATTTTAGTTTACAAGAGAATCATGACCATTACAAATGTGGAGGAAAATTCCTTGACAATAATTCCATTTTTAGTTTACAAGAGAATCAACTTTAAAAAACAATATTACAACAAAAAGAAAATAACAATAGACTATATTCACCAATAATTTTTATTCTGCGCAGTTCTTCCCTGGACATTCTAATCACGTTTTGGGGAATTTGACCTTTATTCAAACCTTTCCTCTATATCTACTCTTTTAATAGATTTGAGGTTTTAATACAAGTTCCGAATATTACATGCAAACAATAAAAATAATTGGGATTTTGGATAAAGGTCCAATTCCAAAAATCCGAATTGTCTATTATTACGTATCAAAAATCCGAATTGTCTATTATTACGTATTTGAAAATGCAAAAGATATAAAAAAATCAACATTTTTGGATTATCAAGTTTTTAGCATTATTGCCTTTTGCTTATATAGTAAATAAATACAGTATCTTTAAGAATTTTTATCTGTTATTAAAATGGCGCAACCTGTTTATGAATCTTTGGAAGAAATTATTATAAGTCGATCCTCAAATAAACCTAAAGAGCTAGTGTCTATATCTGATATAAGCATTTCCCCAAATTCTAATTATCTTGTTGCATGGGGTTCACCGGATGATACTATTTTCTGGAATTGTATGGAAAATGGAAAACCAATTACTGATATGAATTCCTTTACTGTGAATTTGAATAAAAAGACATTACACGTGAACATGGTAAGCACTAGTAACTCGGTGAAAGAATGTAGGAAAGTTAAATTTGCAAGCATTTCTGAAAATCATATTGTCTTTATCGGGTTCGATGATGGGACATATGGTAAGAATAGAATCATATTTGATATTTTTGCTTATATTTTATTAACACACTATCTATGTATTATTATTATAAGAAATTATTTCAATCAACAATCACTATAAACGAATACAACTCGGTCACACATTTCTTAATGACGAGAATGAGATTAAATATGCTAAATTTCTTTCAAATGGAGATTTAGTCGTTATTGTCAAAAATGGAATCTATAAGTATTCTATGTCAAGATCAAATATGTTGACATTTCGTTTCCCCTCATATTTCAAAGTGGATTATGACTGTGGTGAAATCTTCGGTGGTATCAACAATGAATATGTATTATATGGGATATATAATGGGGCATATAATCATATTTATCAATGGAATATAATGACATGTAGTCTAAAAATGCAATACACAGTTAAGCAACCATGGTCTGGAATTTTAGAAAAGTAAGCATATTAAAGTTTAATGAATATTATTTAACGATCATAGTAATATTTATGTTTATTTTGTTTACTGCTGTTTTAGAGTGGCGTTTAGTAATACAAAGAAATTGATAGCCGTTATTGATGAAAGAAAATTAGTGATTTTTTCATCTGAAAGTGGATTACCATTCGTAACCAAAGATCTTCTTGGAGGTAATTAGAAAAAATAAATATTAATATTGTATTTAAATGTAAATTTTAACCCTTTTTTTTTACAGGGCTGTTCAATGGTCTCGAATTTATTGTTAGTGATCATGATGAATATTTATTAATATATTTTAGACCCGAAAAATCATACAACGATCAAAAAATTGATTATAGTACAATGAAATTTAAATTACTGAGACTTTCATGTCCAGAAAAGCTTACTGATATCACTAATTCTTTATTGGAAATTTTGCCAATGAAATTGTCTGGTTCTAATGAGGAAGTCACGAATTTAGAGGCTAAAGATTTTGAATTGTTGAAAATTACATCCGGGCACATGGTCATATGTCACAAGCGTAAATTAATAAGCATCAGATTAATTGATATTCTACAAAATGTTAAAGACGTAAATGAAAATAAATGTGATGAAAATGTAATTGATGGATGGGATGCTTATTTTGGAGCAGTTCAAAAACAATTTTTTACAACTGATTTATATCATAGTTTTTTAGACACTTCAGAGTACTGGAAAGATGATTTTAAGGACATAATTATTTATAAAGATTCTAGAGAAGAAATTAAATTCAGAATTGATTTTAAGAACAAAATTATTAACAAATCCCATGAAAGTTCCACAGAAGAAATTAGGTTCGTAAGTTGCAGTATCCTTCAAAATGACAAATTAATTATTTTAACCGAACGCCAAGAATTTATTTTCATTGAACCATCAATCTATTATCAATTTGTGAGAAATCCAAATCTGACATTTTAAAACTTGTAAAAATTGGTTCATTTTCATTTCTCGATGGGTAGAAGATTATATTTCTTTTGTCAAACAGCTAAACAGTTTCATGTTTCAAAATTGGACTGCCCGCGCTAATCAGGAGCTAGCTAATCGGGAGCCAGCCATTCGTGAGAAAAATAACCATGTAGACTTTAGTAAATTAGTAAAAGAAATAATTTATGATAAATTTTTGCTAGCAGAATATGGTGAAGAATTATTAAGGCATGCAAATGATTTAGGATATGTTAGTATATTAAATGAGATATTAGACAAATCTATTGAATATTTCGATGAAAATCCGCTACAGCACACTTGCTTCCTTAACATTTTTAATTCTTCTCTCATCAAAGATATTAGTAATCAAAAAAAACTCATCGACCTTATTTGTAATACTTTGGATTCATTGGATTTGAATTCTGACATCCTATATTTAAATAATTCACACCTTCAGGCTTTATGCCATAATTTAAGTAAAACAAAAATCGCCCCAAATCCCTTTACAAATTCTATTAAATCCATTAAATCCATCGTTGAGTCATATTATATATCGATGGAATCTAATCTATTTTTTTTGATATTAACCCCAATTAAATGCATTATGCTTACTGCATATATGCCAAATTTTGTCAGTTATCCATCTCACTATAACTATTGGTGGGAACTTATTTACGGACCTGTACCTAGTTTATTTGTAAAATTGGGTGATAGCAGGCTTTATCGAGAATGGCGCATTGAAGCACTAATTAATTATAAATGGAACACTTTTGCAAAATATTATTACTTTATTATTTGGATAATCTTTATGGCATATTTTATATCCTTTATTATAATGGCTTATGCTCTTCGTAAAGGTATATTCTAATATATATGTTTTTATAATTTTTTTCTAATTACTAAATGAATCGCTATTAATACAATTTAATTTAATAGATTTTATATTAGTTCGCATAATAATTGGTTACGGAGCGATCAGTCTTTTACTTGAATTCCGTAAATTTCTATGGTGCAAACCAAAATATATTATGAATTTATGGAATTGGTTTGGTATGATTTATATTTTAAAATGAAAATATAGTGTCTTCTTATATTTACATGTTTCTCTTCAGATATCGGTGCACATATATTTCCGATTATATCTTGTGTCTATTGGCTTAACGGCTTTACAAATTTACCGATTCAGGCACTGGCAACACTTTTTCTTTGTATTAAATTCCTGCTTTTTTTCCGAGCACTTGCACCATTTGGAATCTACTTTGCTATTTTTTTTGGAGTTGGTCGCCGTATATATCCGTTCTTTATAATACTCACTATTATTTTAATGGGATTTACACTTTCCTTTAGTATGTTACTTAGCCCCCAACAGGGCGGAAAAGATGATCCTAATGATCCATGGAACCTTTCAAACACGTATAATCAAATATATGAAAATGGGACATATTCATCTGATGCAATTTTGGTTCAGACACCAAATAGTAATACGAACATGTATTCGAATTTTGGAACTGCTCTTATTGCAACATATATGGTTTTAGCAGGTCTGCTGTCTGTTTATAAAATAAGTTTTGCATAAATCTGATTTTATTTTAACATTAAATTGCTTTTTTAGGAAATATTAGTTCATTCACTAGCTGGAATATTAGTGATAACCCTGTTTTAGCTATAATGCTAGTCACTTTTTCGTTTTTTATTGTAATATATTTAATGAACCTGTTTATTGGGTTATTAAATAATGCGATTAATCCAAACAGTGCTCATGAATCTTTTCTAGCACAAAAAGCAGCTGTAGGTTTTACGAATTGTATTTTTCTTTTATATTCAATTATTTAACAGATACTTACTATATAAAATTTTAGATTATAGCTGAAATCGAATTATTTTGTTTATTTCCTTGTCAGAGAAGATGGAGAAAATGGTTTCCAGATACAATGTAAGCTATTGTTTATTCTAATTTTTTATTCAATTTAGTTAATACTAATATTATAATATATGTTTAGTCATTATATAGTTCACTATGAGTTGCATTTGTTTTAGACAAATTCTTTCGGCAAATTTAATTCTTTATCTTTAATATAGTCCAAATATTTATCATGGATGTGTTCTGTTTTGTCATACTTGGTAACCACTTCAAGTTTCAAATTCAAGCGTTCTGACTTTGTTATTATTAAGATTATTAGACAAGTTATGGCAAAAACATTACTAGAAAGGGTTTGAAAAGCTAATTTCAATTTATACATTAATTACTTTAATCTATATTATAAATTTAAGAGACTGGCTCTGAAGATTTTTAGAAATGCATTGTGTTAGTAGCGATCTTAAATAAAAGAACAATATAATAAATATTAATTACATTTTGATAATCATGGGGTCACGAAAAATAAATTTATAATTTCTAAAGGTGTCAAATAATAATTATTGTTGTGGCTGAAGCTGAAAACTGCCGAAGCTGGAAATTTTAAATACTTTAATATGATATTTTCAAAAATTTTTAGGTGCATTTTTTTTATAGTTAGCTTAGGATTCAGGGTTAGTTTTGATAATAAAAATGTATAAGTGGAATTTGGTAGGGTTTATATTTTCAAATCGAGGTTTCTAATTTCCAGCTTTAGCCATTTCTAGCTTCAGCCGCGACAATTAGTAAATAAAATATTTAATAAATAGATAGAGAAGGATATTGCAATATGATTTTGTCATTCTAATGAGGGACCTTTGAGACAGAGATACGAAATTATTTGATTTAGAGTAATTAAACAAACTCAACAAAATCACATAATTTTATTACATAAATTCATTTGCATTTGTTTTATAATTATATTTTATTCAAAAAAGACCATAAAACGATAATACGATAAAATCATATGTTAGGTGCATAGTGAGAATTATTGTTGTCGGCACGGGACTATGGGCATGCCTCCGGTCTGAGGCATGCCCATTGGCATGCCCTACTACAATCACATGAGCATAAGTAACCAATCAAATCATTTCAAGCTAGTGCAAACAACTTTAAATATTTCATGTAATTTACTATCAGACATTCGATTTGAAATTATATAGAAAGTAATCAAATATAGGTTCACAGACATTAAATGCTAATGAAGAGTTACGCAAGAAATATTAAAATTTTAGTTAAAGTGAATCACGACCATGTAATATTGGCTAAAGAATTAAATGTAATTATGGTTTGTTTGTTTATTTTAATAAAAAATAGTTGTTATTGTGAAATAGTATTATTATTTCTAGCCAATGATTGTAGTTATTTTATCATGTGATTTGGGCATGCTCTGAAGGTAGTGCCCAGAATTATGTTCCGGCAATTACCAAATTATGTGTGTGGTAAATTGTAAATTATGCGAATTATGCGAACCTAGTGTTATGGGGTGAATCGTAGGTTTATTTAGTTTATACACGAAAATATAGTTTTTAGACGATATAAGGCATTCGCCAGAGGTGTGACGTTGGTGATTTGGTATTAATTTATTTTATTAAATGAGTTTGACCAGGTGATTTATTAAATGTATTAGAAAGAGGTTATTAGAATCCCGTAGGATGTCCCTTTGAGAAGAGCGAAATATCTGTGCTTTTATAGCTTCAATGATGTAAAGGATTCAAGGGCTTAGGAATAGCTCATATAAGACATCTTTTAACAAATTTAAGAGAGCTAGTTCTAAGATAAGAGGCTTACAATGATAATTTACAACATTATTATAACAAAAGAAAGGCTTTGCTTCGCACAATACAATCATTCGCCTTTACAGCCACTTTAACTATATCTTAATCTTGATATTCGGTCTCCTTTTATTTTTCTTTTACACGTTCCTTGTTCTTCGGATTTCACGTTGGTTATTGTTTATTGTATTTGGCCGATAAGCCTCAACCGATAAACTAGTATTTTTTGGAACTATTGCTTCAATCACGGGTTTGCTGTGCCTAATTTTGTAGATCCTTCATTTTAGCCCGTGACACTAGAGATTAGGCTTGAAAAAAATTTCTGTTAACCAATCAAATTTTAAGATCAGGCATACTACTAGGAAACGGGAACCGTTGAAGTCCGGAGCCTAGGTTTTTAAACTATTTTCTATTATTAATTTTACTTTGAAATATATACTATTTTATGAGTTACTTATCTTTATAATTTAATTTATGTGCATTTTCTTCATAATTCGAGCCAGCTTACAAATAAATTCACCGATCAAATAATTATCATAATTAATTGTAACGAACGAAAAAAAAGGGTTGAATATCTTGTACGCGTTCTTTGCGTTTATAGTTATGAATTTTTTAAATATTTGAATTTCATCCGTTCTTAATAACAATTTTTCAAGTATTATTACAGTATATATAATAATATTAAGGATTTTGTATTCGGATATAAATAAAAATTAACATATTGATTATTTTAAGAGAAATTAAGGCTACATCATATTGTGCTGGTTTGTCGTGTTGTCGTGTAATCTATTAGAAAATCTAAGGTATTAAAATTGTCTAATTAGTGAATCGATCATTGTATTTTGGCGTCGAATATATTAATAAAGAACCAGCAGAGTAGTATAGTCGGATTAATTTTGGTAATAAAACGCGAAACGCGTAATAAGTGATTAATTACATGATTGTTCAATACTGTAATTTGGTTTATTTTTTTTACATCATACTATACATTTTATTTCTACATAGTTTAATAATTTAAATAATTTTTATTCAAATTTACCATAGCAAAAACAATTAATTTTTGGTTATATTTTTAAAAAAATTTTTGCTACATTATTTTAATTAAGACTATGTAATTTTTGCATACGCATCCAGAAGGAATACAGTCATAATATACTGTATTAGATATTAATGTTTATATTGTATTCTCTTTTTATATTCTCTTTTTAACGATTATTTCTTCGCGTTAAAATATATTTATTATTTATTTATTTATTGTTTGTATAAAAAAATCTGCATGGTGAATATGAATTTTATTCTCATGTTTATGAATAATACAAAATACCCCAGATAAATTAAATATCTGTATTTTTACAGGGGCACCCGTGACAGAGGTCTGGACAGTAAGTCCTTCACTCCGCTCCAGACAATAAGATAAACATATATATAGACTCATATCAGCTGATTTTTGGAATTGTACTAAAACAGATGTAATTTAACATTTTTTTAAACATGAATAACCTTTTATTTACTGGTTTATTTTAAATGAAACAACTATTAAAATGTTCATCTCATTGAAATGATCATTTTGATAGTTGTTTCATTCAAAATGGACTGGTAGATAAAAGGTTATTCATGTTTAAAAAAATGTCAAATTATATCTGTTTTAGTATAATTCCAAAAATCAGCCAATATGTACAAACCCATTTTTTACATATTATAGAAAATTTCTTTATCAAATAATATTTTCGAACCTTACCAAATGGCAAGATCCTGTCCCTAATACAAAGACTCAAAATTTGCTAGAAATATTTTATTACAAACATGAATGTAGTTGGCATATAAGTGATGCCAAGAGAAAATAACTATCTGTACTAGTACTTTCAATTATATTTTGTATTAGACATGATCCTTAATAAATTAGATAAATTATATCCAGTACAAAATATAATTGAAAGTCTGAATGGCCATTTTCCCTTGGCAGCATTCATATATAAAAAGTTAGAATGGTATAATTAATAACCTTGCTAAATTCGGAGCTGTTTATTTTTGATATGATAGATTGGCCTGCATTATTTATATGATTCTACCCGGATTGGCCAGTGTTAGTGTATAATGTAGGCTGACTTGATGACAAGATTTTGTATAATTTTGTCTGTATAATGTTATTTGATGACTCTGCTAGGAGTCTAGATGCTTTTACAATAATGCAATCAGGAGATATACTGAATTAGGAAATCAGATTCTAAGAATGATCCACATGTCAAATCACAGATTTAATTGGTTCTTGTACACAATTTGGTCAGCATTCTTCAGAAATTTTTTTATATCTCAAATTTATTATAAATCTTATGAATAAGCATATAGGCAGACAGTAAAGAACATGTAGTTTAAATAATCTACAATAATTCACGCGAATTAATATTTGTTAAAAAAGTAAATGAGACATTAAGACTTGCAAGATTTTATGCTCATTCAGAAAGCTAGTACACAAAAACTCAAGAACTTCATCACAATCTTTGCTAACTTAATAGAGATTACTGATCAAAAAACTTTACTATATATGTATTACTCAATATTTCTGTGCTTGTGCTGCTTTTGTTTGTAAGCATTATTTATTAACCAGATCTTTACACAATGTTTTTTTAATTTTATTTTTATAGATTTAAAGTTGTTAAGTATAAAGATCATTTGAATATAGGCTAGTGGTTTATTTTAATTTTATATTATTAAGATTATTTACTATTTAGTTAAAATAAGCTTAGGTCCTTACTTCTTTTTGATTTTAATTAGTAAACCAGAAATATTATGTTTGTTTGATGTTAAGGTAAAACTATTTACTTACTTATATTATTCAAACTATAGACTCTTAATATCATAAAGTACTCAAATTTAGTTTAATTTATGTAACTTAGTATTTTTAAATGC